TACATGTTACATACACACACATAATACATACATACAAATATTATTACCACCCAACCAAAACCCAAACAAACAAAGCAAGCAAACAAGCGAACAAACAAACAAAACAAAGGAACAACCAACACACATTGTTGAAGAACAATAACAACAAACAAAAACTAGCAACAAACGTCGCACAACTAACGCAACTAACAACAGCAACAACCAACAACAGCAAGCACTAAGCTAAAAGGAACGAACAAGAGCGAAAGCCAAACGCTGAAAATGACAAGTTCCCGACAAAAACCGACAGAAACCGACAGACACCGACAGAAACCGACAAAAACTGATAAAGACAAAAACCGACAGAATCCGTCAAGAGCGCAAAACTGGCCCAAGAGGACAAAGTCATGAACAAACTGTTCCCCTACATTCTGTTCCCCAAACTCATTTTGAGGATATATGCAACGTGCACGGCTGCCGCGCAATGAGCAGCTCTGCCTCTTCCGCGAACATGATCTGCGTGCGCGCGTGGCCCACACATGCATATTTAGAGCCTGCCGGGCGCTAGGATGAGGTTTTTGGGCCGCCGTGCGTATCTCTGTTTAAGGGCCACACGCGGCCACGAAAAAGGCGCAGTCTTGGGCCGCCGAGTAGCGAGGGCCACGGATGCACAAGCGCAGGGCCCTCTTTCGCGGGTAAGCGTCAAGTGTGCCGCACACGCAATGCAATGCGCACACGCTCCTTGCGTTCGTAGACACACGCGCAGTTGCACATACATGGCGCGCACCCGTGCTTTTCCCCCTCTACAAAAGCATGGCCGCGCCCAACTGCCAGGAAGAGCTGCTGAGCTGCGCAAGCCGGCAGAGGGCCTGGCCCCTGTCGCCGCAGCTCGAGGCAGGATGGGGGGCGGGGGGGGGGGGGGGCGGCGGGGCAAGATCCCTAGGGGTCTGTTCAACACCGCTTGCAGGGATGTATCTATCACGCGCTCGGACGCCGTGGGGGGAGATGGACTAAAAATGGAACAAGGTGCGCTGGGAAGGGTGGAGGTCGGGCTGGCTCCTTGCAGACCAAATGTAGTCGGACACTTCAAAAAAAGGAGTGGGAGTTTGGAAAAAGAAGTCTGCGAGATGTACGCGGATGTCGCTGGGGGTCTAGGGCAAAGCGACGGGGAAAAGTCGGTGGGAGACAAGCAGTCGGGGTTCCAAGGGATGTCGGAGAATGTCGGAGGAGCCCCCGCCCGTTGAAAACATAGAGGTCATGAAAATGTCGGTCAACGTCCATGGGTGCATTCTGGTGTCGGTACAATGTCGGTGAAATGTCGGCGGGCTTCATCTGAAATGTTAAAAGCGAGCTTGAGCGCGCATCTGCCTGCGTGTTTGGTCCTAGCTTTTCGGGTAGGTTCTCCGACTAGACCTTCTATCTGTTGAAGCCATGGCTTCGCGCAAAAGACCTACGAGCTCCGACGGGAGAACGAGAGAGCGCGTGCAAGTGCAAGTTCCTGGCAATTCGCCTGCGCAAGCGCTCGACAGCGTTCCGCGCGGGTCTGCTGGAGGACCCTGAGTGCGACGAAGGTCAAAGGGGCAAGTCTGGCCATCAATAAGCCGACATTTGCTTCGCAGGCCCTGGCGTTTAATGAATTAAACCATCGCAGTACTGTGTTTCAGACCTTTGCGAGTTTTACGCGTGCGTTTTGCTGGAACCCTGCGCGCTGATGTCTCAATTGGCCACAAAAACGGCGAACACCTTGAGTGAGAACTAAATCGTTTAGCTTAGTTTCGCTTTCGCGCCGAACGTAATCCCTCACTATCACGCAAACTCAGTCATTCATCAACCCTCTCACCCGCTCACACCCTCACGCTATCCCGCGCTCACTCTCAGACTCAGGCTTAAGCCCGCGCTCCCACGCACCCGCACCCACACTCAGAACTCTCAATCGTACTCACCCTCGCTCGCGCTCTCACTGACAATCGCACTCACTCCCGCGCCGCATCGGGCTCGCGCTCACAGTCACCTTCTCTGTCTCTCTGCCTCACTCTCACTCACTCCTCTCTCTCGCTCTCACCGGCTCTCACCCACACTCACTCACGTCGCTCACGCTCTCCCTCACTCCCGCGCTCGCGCTCCCTCTCGCTCTAGCACTTGCTCACTCAATCATTCCCTCACCCGCTCGCCCCACCCGCGCAGTCGCACACTCACTCACTCACTCACTCACTCACTCACTCACTCACTCACTCACTCACTCACTCACTCACTCACGCACTCGTTCATTCGTTCGTTCATTCATTCATTCATTCATTCATTCATTCATTCATTCATTCATTCATTCATTCATTCAGTCGTTCATTCATTCATTCAGTCGTTCATTCATTCATTCATTCGTTCATTCATTCGTTCATTCATTCGTTCATTCATTCATTCATTCAGTTCAATTCAATTCAATTCAATTCAATTCAATTCATTCATTCATTTCATTTCATTCATTCCATGCATTTCATTCATTTCATTCATTTCATTCATTTCATTCATTTCATTCATTTCATTCATTTCATTCATTTCATTCATTCATTCATTCATTCATTCATTCATTCATTCATTCATTCATTCATTCATTCATTCATTCATTCATTCATTCATTCATTCATTCATTCATTCATTCATTCATTCATTCATTCATTCATTCATTCATTCATTCATTCATTCATTCATTATTTCATTATTTCATTCATTCATTCATTCATTCATTCATTCATTCATTCATTCATCATTCATTCATTCATTCATTCATTCATTCATTCATTCATTCACTCATTCACTCGCACGTGCGCCGCTCTCGCTATCACTTTCACTCTCATTCTTACCCAAACTCACACGCCCGCGCTCACTCTCGCTCTCACACCCTCGCGCTCACTCACTCACTCACTCACTCACTCACTCACTCACTCACTCACTCACTCACTCACTCACTCCCTCACTCCCTCCCTCCCTGCCCCACCCACCCACCCACCCACCCACTCACTCACTCACTCACTCACTCACTCACTCACTCACTCACTCACTCACTCACTCACTCACTCACTCACTCACTCACATTCACTCACGCGCTCTCGCTATCACTTCTTACCCAAACTCACACTCACACCCGCGCCCGCGCTCACTCTCACTCTCACACTCTCGCGCTCACTCACTCACTCACTCACTCACTCCCTCCCTCACTCACTCACTCACTCACTCACTCACTCTCTCGCTCTCTCGCTCTCACTCTCACTCTCACTCCGACTCTCACTCTCACTCTCACTCCTCTCATTCTCACTCTTACTCTCACTCTCGCTCTCGCTCTTGCTCTCGGTCTCTCACTCTCTCACTGCGCGCCGCGCCACAGCGAGAGCCTGCGACCCACCCAAGGTGCGCAGAGGGTTCGCTTTTCGCTCTCAAAACGAAATGCGCCCCGCGCGACAACGACAGCGATTCAACCCACCCAAGGTGCGCAGAGGGTTAATTATGCGCCGCGCCACAGCGAGAGTGATCCGAGCGCCACGCCTGCCGCGAAACCTGCACCCAAGCTCGAATGCTGCGCATGCCACGAAACTTGCACGAACAGCTCCAGAGTGTGCGCCTGCCATGAAAGCCAACTTTGACACGTTCACGAAACTCGTCCACAACTAGCACGGGATTGCGGCGCCAGATTGATTTCGACCGATTTTGACACATTTCAATTTCAAGTTCAACCAAATGAGCCGACTGCAAAACGGGGCCAACGAAAAACACACCTGCGCAAACGCTTGCACGCGCCTGCCAAGCAAGACGCCTCAAAACGACCGCCCCTGAAACGCAAATCGCAATGGCGCGGCATTGCGAACAAGCGCCTGCGCAGAAGAGTGACATGCGTCGCTGCCAAGGACACGCGTCGCATGTCGCAGCAATCCCGACGGCACAGCCATCCGTTCCACTCGCGGACCCTCTGCGAACGCTTGCGGGCAGCGACGCCTCGCGAACACATGCTTCTCCCCAAGGCCCTACTTTTCAACAAAAACTCTGCTGCTGCGCACAAACAAAACACATGACAAAAACAACAAACAAACAAACCACGACAGACAGACAGACAGAAAGACAGACAAACAACATGACAAACAGGCACGCAGGCAACCGAGCAGCAAACAAACAAAAAACACACACACAAGCAAACAACCAAGCAGACAGACAATCTAGCAAAATACAAACCAAAAACCAACCAACCAACCAACCAAGCCAACCAGACAAGCAAACAAACGAGCCAGTAGGCTTGGACTCAATCTTAAACAAGCGCAAACAAACACTCACGCGCGCAAGCACAAACCGTCAATCGGACAAGCAAGCACAAACACACAGTATCGCGCTGGACTCGCACGAGAGACGTCTCAATTCGAAAGCTCCGCAAGCCCACTTAAGACCGAACACTTCACCAAAAACCGCGCTGAACATCTGCGGGCAAATCTCACACTTTGAGCTTCCCCAGCGGGCCACCGTTCGTGTTTCTTTCGTCCCAGGTGCCGCGCAGTGTCGTTTGTGCGAAGGCAGCGCGCGCTACATCCCAGGACAACAACTTCTCAGCAGCAAAGCAGAGGCTGCCAAAAAAATGCTTGAAAGCTTCGCTGGACCCGGCGCGTAACCGCAAAGTCTCATCGACCCGTGCGGCCTGCAACAAGCTACGCGCAAACCTGCCCCCCTTTCAAAAGCGCGTTTGCCAAGGCTTGCCATCGCCAGCAGGAAAGAAGGCGGGTGGATGGAGTGGGTGGATGGTGGGTGGCTTGCTGTATGGATGGCTGGGCTGGGGGCATTGGATGATGGGTGATGGATGATGAGGACGGACTGATGGATGGATGGATGGGTGGATGGATGGGTGGGGGTGGGTGGATGGCTACAAAGGCAGTCTCTCTTTCTTTCTCTCTGCGGTTGCCCAACCCTGTGTGTCAAGCAGCACCCTAGAAAGCATATGAAGGTGCTCGAGAGCACCAGTGCCACACAAACCGCACAGGGCCCCGCGCCTGCAGCTCAAGACCCTCCAGCTCTGGCGATGAGACCTCAACGCCAAGTCGCAGGAACCTCCTGAACTGCGGTCAAACAATTTGCTCTTGCGCTAATCTCACGTCCTGCGCACGATCGTGCGCAGGACCTGCCAAGGTTTCACGTCGAGACATCTTGTAGGCGACGCTCTTTACAGATCCTGAAGAGAGAGCTTGTAGAAGGTTCTCTCACAGATCCTGCGCACAGATCTTGCCAAGAGATCCTTTGAAGAGACCCTACCCACAGATCCTGCAAAGATCCTTCCATTATAAATTATACATATTACCTCACCTGTGTGTTTGAGACATGGATCGCTTTTCTATTTTCATACCTCCCCCAACACTGCTTGGGTCGCTTGCTCATGTAATCTCTAGAACCATGGAACCTGGTGCTTCAGAGGCGGAGAGGCCATGTCAAGGGAAGATTTATTAGTTCTAGAATGAAAGGCAAAAGGGCAAAAGGGGGGCTCTAAAATGATTAGCTTTTTTGAAGACACTGCGATAGAATAATGGAATCTGGGCCTCAGAGTCAATCTCGCCATAGGACTAAGTAGCCTGCGCGCGCTGCGTTTTAAACCAATCGCCGCCATACGCAGATAGTGCGTGAATAGGGGGCTGACAATGCACTGTGCGTTGAAGCACTTTACCACCGTAAGCAACTTGGACTTGGGTGGGACTCTGGTAATTCAGGGCCTTTTGGCTCCGTGGCCGGATGACTTGAGCAGGGCGCTGCGTGAAAACAGCTTTGGCGGACTTCTTGGAGCAGGAAAGCTGACTGAGTGGATGACTGCTGTTTGTTCCTGCCGTATTCAGCTTGCCATGTGTTGGCTCCTTAGCGCGTGACTCCCTTTTTTTAGCCACGCAGCACGAAAAAAAGGGTGGGGCGAACTCTTCGGAGGAGCGTGGCTCACTCCAATTCATATAGAGCTTCTCGGCCTCTTGGCCGTGACCAAGTGTAGATCTGTTCTTACCAGTGTGACAACTGATATGTCTCCAAATTGACCGCCTCAACCGACTGATAGCTCACGCAGGATACCCAAACACACACACACGAAGGACTCCCGAATAGCAAAAGAGCAGAGGCTGAGACTAGGTGCGCGAGGCTGGCTGTGCTGTGCGGAATGGGTGGTTGGGGGACGGCAGGCGCAGACCCGTTCTGCAGTCTGCGCCCCCACCACACGGCAGCCCCCCGCACCACACCCGGCAGGCGCACAACGAAATCGAATCCCTTCTTATCTCCGCCGTCAAAGCTTTCATTGTTCCCGGCACAAGCATCAGGAAAGCTTTTTTGGAAAAAGCACAGCCACATGCCACGACTCAGCCCGCACAGGAGCCACGAGATCCAGAAGAGCCTCTGCCTCAAAAAGATCCCACAGCCCCGGCCTCCAAGCAACAAATGTAGATGACAAAAAAGGAATGGGTCAGGCATTCATTCTCCAACGAGTTTGGGAGGCGAAAGGTGGCCGCTCAGCTGCCAACAGCCGACAAAACGCCCCTGCCCACTCCGCACAAACTGAAGACCAAAAAATAACACGCTTCCTTCACAGGGGTCGCGCGTGGCCGTGTCACCAGAAACAAAAGTGAATCACAACAGGGCCCAGCAACAAATCTAAGAAGGAATGTGTGCAGCAACGGACAAGAGCAGATTTCCCCGCCCGCAAAACCCAAACCAGCCCAGAAACCGCTGCACCGTTAAGGAAGCAGTGGCCTTAGCGGCAGAAAAACCAAAAAGCCGCCATAGTCGCTGAAGGCATTTCCTTGAGGGGCCGGAAAAACAAAGTCCTTAGAGGTCTAGGCTCCTTCACAATTGCAGGAGAAAAGCCTCCCGCGCGCAATTCCCAGACATTCTTGGGATCTTGACAATCTGGCAACGGCCAGCGCAGGCTCTGCCGTTACTGCCCACGCGATCTCCTTGCACAGCGCTGTGGAAAAGCTGTAGAGCAGCTTGCGCAACTGCCTGCTAATCTTCCACTGGCTCCCAGAGTCGTGGCCCCCTGAGCACCCCCGCGATGCCTTCCGTCTTCCCACATCATGACCGGCCGCCGGGCCTGCAGATACAGCAGCTTGGCCTTCAGCCCGCCTCCGCACCTGCACACCATGGGCCTGAACCCAGTCGCAGGTGAAAAAGGAGCATGAGCTCGAACAAAGCCGTCGCCGTGCGCTGACCGTCAACTCACCAGAACTGCACGAAAAAAGCCCGCATAATCTTGTAGAAAGGCTACCTTGCAGGAGACTGCTCAGGCAACTCGCGCCGCCACAGTAACGGCGCCATCATCCTGCTTGCCACAAACTGCATCCCGATTGCCAGCCGGTGCCTCAGAGCGCAGTGGCAGCTGCAAGTACAGCTTCTGCAACCAGACCTGTCTGCGAAAAGCTGCAAACGCAAGCGAATGCTCATGGGATGAGCCGCCCTGTCTGCAACTGCGTTGCGCCAGACATGGTCAAGGCCTGCCGAAAAGGGCTGCCGTTGGCTGACGACAGCATCATCCTGGCTGCAACTGCTGCACACACGCTTGTTCGCTAAACGGCCCAAACCTCTGAAACGTAGCGGTTGGCGACAGAGTTTAACACCTGCCTCAACGACCTCCGCCCTCTGCGTAGCCCGCGGCAGCAAAGCATCCGCATCCAAGCCAGCTGTAACGCTTCCGTCAGTCCAGTACCGCGCACGGCCTCCGTAAAGGGGTGGGGCACCTTGGAAACGGGCCGCGGCAGCAAGTTGGGCGGAAGTTGAACAAGCCCGTAAGGCAAGCGCCATCCGGGGTCAACCCGGGAGACATTGTAGCCGAGGGCCCACAGCAAGTGCCTGGAGCGCCAGTGAGGCCACTGGACCCGCAGAGCATTGGCGATAGGCGGTCGCTGGTGCGGATGTGCAGGTTGAAAGCCCGCGTAAGTCAAGATCGTCAATGAGTTTGGCCGACCGCTCGAACTTGGCAACCGCCGCGATCGCGTAGGTTGCCTGGGCCGCCTGCGTTGAAATGGACCGCAGCGTTTAGGACAAACAGGGAGCACGCACGCTGCGTGCCGGGGAGAGCCTCCTGCGTGGCAGGGAGCGCCGAGGCGTTGGACGCCCGAAAGACACACTTGGCATGCCCGCAAGCCGATCGAAGAGAGTGGCCTGAAAGGCCTGGGACAGGTCAGGCAAAAGATGACGCCCTACCACCCGCAAGTAAGCATCATGAACGAAACAAAAAAGAGCTGCGTCGGGTGCATCCAGGCGCAGAGCACCAATAGGCTGTCGCCCTGGGCAAGGCCCAAGCCGCCATAAAAGGACTGAGGGAGCCCTGGATCAGGAACCTCCTCCGACTCCGTGCAAAGCCACATGGCTGAAAATATCCACACTCTGGCGCTTGGCAACCAAGGCCAAACGCCGGCTTGCAACCTTGGTCTGCTGAAAGCAGACCCAAGAACGCAAGGTAGGCGCATGGAATGAGGTGGGCCATTTCTTCAACGGATGCCCGCCCGCATCCTTATCCAGCCTCGACGAGTACGCGTCTAAGAGAGATCCAGCGTGTCCCGCGCCGTCAAGCGAAGCAAAAGGGGCGCCGGTTCCATAGACGAGTCAGCACTCCGAATGACCGCTTTGCCAGCCCAGCTGAACAGGCGGAATCGCATTCACTTCAGTGAAAAGGACCCCCAGGCACACCCGCCTCAGCCATTTAGTGGAGAACTAGACAGCTAAAGAGAACCTTCATTATTGCAAACCCGCTCTATGAAATTTCCTATATTTTGACCGCGACTTGTGCCGTTTCACACCCGCGCCTCGGCGCCCAGGTCCGGGATGTGGGAGACGCGCCCAGGCAGTTCCGGGGACGCGTTTCGGGCAGGCGCTGCGGCGCTTCTGCGGGGAGATGCCAAGAGAAGGGCCGTGCGCAGCTTGCCTCGGCTTTCACAAAGTTTCTGGAGGCGTCCTTTGAGTCCTTTGCCTCTTATATCTCTTTCTCGGGGCAAAAGCAATCAGTTAGAAGCGATAATGGTCCGAAAACAAGCGCATTGGCCTTGTAGGCCAGCTGGGCTGATGGTCCAGCCCTCTCAGCTCTTTGAGTGTACAGGCGGCCTTCAGGACCAAATTCGAATGCCGGGCCCCTCTTTGTTCAAGCCTCCACAGATCAGATTGGTGCTTTTGCCAGCCCAACGAAGCAAAGAGTTTTTGAACTGAGAAGTTGGTTTTGCGCCTGTTCAAGGGTTCAAGCGCAAAAAACACGGCAAAAGGCCCTGGCTTCATTTTTCGACAGCCCGGGCCCCCGGTCCACCAAGAGACGGGCGGCCCTGGCGAAACGGATCGCTTGGGCACACGTGCCGAGAAATTCCGTTAACGGAGCAAAGGCTAGCATTTTTGGTTCTCGCAGATCTTAATTGTCATTGCTTTGAGGCTGGCAGCAACCGCCAAAGGTTTCCCCGGAGCCGTGAACCTTGGACAGGTTGGACTGTGCAACAAGAGGTTGTCGCCAAGGCACTCTCCTTTTTTACTGACATGCCGCTCGCTGGTCCACCTGCCTGCTCCCTCCAACTCGTGAGCTGCGTGCCAAATTTTATGTGTGCCAGAAATACAACATCGTTGCAGACCTGAAAGCTTCACCACAGTATCCCGCCTCAGCAAAAATCTGGGCCCGCCCTCAGGATACAGCGCAACCAGAACAATCCCCAAAATGACCGGCCTGCGTCGGCAGCTGGTGCGGCGCACGATCCTGAAACAAGCTAGACACCAAACCCGAGACAACATAGGCAACCACGCACGCGGGTTGGATACAACTTTTGAATGCATACACTACCCGGCAAATAGATGGCACAATTCCGAAGTATATTTAAGTAGATGGCACAAAAGCAAAAAAGTCCACTGTTCTGTTGGCACAATTCTTCAATTATCCGGCGAATTGGGCCATCTATCAGCCCAACAAACGGGCGGGTCAAAAAATGTGCCATCTTTGTTTTGCAAAATGTCCGCAAACCCCTTTAACCCTTCTGTGAGTGGATCTGAGTGAAGTGGAGTGGGAGTGGAGTGGTGTGGCGTGGCGTTGAGTGGAGTGGGAGAGTGGAGTGGGAGAGTGCAGAGGGAGAGTGCAGAGGGAGAGTGGAGTGGGAGTGGAGTGGAGAAGTGGAGCGGCGTGGAGCGGAGTGGAGTGGAGTGGAGTGGAGTGGAGTGGAGGGGATTGGAGGGGATTGGAATGGAGTGGAGTGGAGTGGAGTGGAGTGCGGGGGGGGGGGAGTGGAGTGGAGGGGAGGGGTGGGTAGGAGGGGATTGCGCGGCGTTTTCGTTTTTTTACTGGCTCAGTTCATCCCAAACTTTTTTGATTATGACTCACTCCAGTGTCACAAACCAGACCTGCTGATGCATATTATTCCGACCAAACACATAGAAATTAAACACGTTACCCACAGGAAGCTAAAGTGTTGGTTGCGTCTGTGTATAGTTCATCTTTTTTTCCATAGGAGGATTGCTGAACCAAACTCCACTCTTGCTTGGGCTCAAAATCAGCCTGCCTGGCTGGACTTCCCCCTCCCACAATTCCATGTGGACCTGCGACTTGCTGGCTCAACTCCGCTGCCTGGCAAACTTGCCCTACCCCAACATCAGCCTGCCTGGCTGGACTTCCCCCGCTGCTGGGGGCTGCCTTGTGGAGGCACTGCCCCTCCCACAAGTCAAAAAAAAATAGATGGCACAATTCCATGTGGAAGGCACTGCCGCTCCTCCCACAAGTCCATGTGGACCTGCGACTTGCAGGCTCAACACCGCTGCCTGGGAAACTTGCTGACTCAAAATCAGCCTGCCTGGCTGGACTTCCCCCGCTGCTGGGGGCTGTCTTGCGGAGGCTGCCGCGGAGAAAAGAAGAAAAGTAGATGGCACAATTCCATGTGGACCTGTGACGGTCGCATGCCAGGCTTCTGTGGACCTGCGACTTGCTGCCTCGACTAGGCTGGTTTTGATCCGCATGGAATTGTGGGATGTTGCAGCCCCCAGAGAATTGTGCCATCCACTCTTCTTGATTTGTGGGAGGGGCAGTGCCTCCGCAAGGGGAAGTCCAGCCCCTGGCTGATTTTTGAGGTTATTGGCGGGCTGCCCAATTCATCATTGAAAACGCTTAGATGAATGACTCTTAGCTGTGTGGACTTAGCACTTATGGTCAATGCGTCCAAATGCTGCAACTATGCTAGCAGCGGTTTGGGCCTCACACCTTAATTCTATAAGGCGATACCTGAGAGTTCAAAAATCCTTAAGCACAGGCCAAGGCAGCCCTAGCATGCGACCGTCGCATGTTCACACGGAAACGTGCCATCTACTTTTCTTGATTTGGGAGGGGCAGTGCCTCCACAAGGCAGCCCCAGCATCCCAGGCAGCGGGCCTGGCTGGACTTCCCCCACTGCCTGGGCCCCTCCCACAATTCCATGGACCTGCGACGGTTGCAATCTCAGCTTGGAAGGAAACGCTCACAACTTGCCTGGCTGGACTTGCTGCCTGGGAAACTTGCCTTGCCTCAAAATCAGCGCTGGACTTGTGGACAAATGAAGAAAAGTAGCTGGCACAAATCCATGTCAACTTGCAGTGGTCGGGCCTCGAAAGACAGAATCTTGGGTTGGAAGCAAACCCTTGGCTGACTTCCTCAACTCCGCTGCCTGGGGCGCTGCTTGCCTGGCTGGACTTCCCCCGCTGCCTGGGCCTGCTGTCTTGTGGAGGCACTGCCCCAAGAAAAGTAGATGGCGCAATTCCATGCCTGGACTTCCTCAACTCTCGCCCTGAGAAGGCTGCCTTGCCTCGACTTGCCCTGCTGCCTGGGAGCTGTTTTGTGGAGGCACTGCCGGCTCAGAAGGAAACCCAACTTGCCTAGCTGGACTTCCTGCATCAAACCCTCTCACGACTTGCTTATGTGGAGGCTCCCTGTCTGGCTTGTGGAGGATCTGCCCCTCCCACACATTCAGCCCTGCCTGTCCCACTTGGCTTGTGGAGAGACTCCCACAAACAAAGAAAAGTAGATGGCACTTTTCATGTCGCACTCCAGGTTTCGACACTTAATCAGCCATTCGTGACTACACTTCCCCCGCTGCCTCGGGGATGCTGATGAAAAGTAGACAAGACAATTCCAGCACTACTTGCCTGGCTGGACTTCCTCAACCACTGCCTGGCAAATTCCTTGCCTCCAAATCAGCCCTGTTTCTCAACTTCCCCTGGCTAGGCTTCCTCAACTCTGCCTACATCAGCCCCTCTTGCCTGGCTGGGCTTCGCCCTCTCTGCCTTGGTGGAAAGCAAAGTAGACGGCGGAGTTCCATGCGCCTTCCCAAATGAGGAAAAGTAGACGGCGCAAGGTTGCTCTTCAGGCTCGAAACGCATAATGTTAGGCAACCTGGTTTTGACACTGCCTTACACTGCCCCTCAATGTGACCCACTGGTTGGAGGTGAGTGAGTGGACGGATTCATTTGTCTTCCTTTCTGTTTCTTTCGCGGCTCTTGGATAAACGGATTCATTTGTCTCCCATTGTCAACCCAGCTTGGATGTCTGGCACGGGGGCCCCTTTGTCTCCCTTCATTTGTCTCTTGTTCCTGGATGTTTGGCACGGCTTTTCGGGCGGATAGGTTCATTTGTTGTCTGCTTGCATTTGTCTTTCATTGTCTGCCGAGCCTGGATTCCTGGCACGGCTGTGTGGGTGGACGGATTCATTTGTCCCCCTTTGTCTCCCTTCATTTGTCTCGTGTTGTTTCTCTGGGCGGACGGGTTCATTTGTCTCCCTTCATTTTCTGCGGGTGGTTGTCTTGCGCAGCTCTCTGGGTGGACAGCTTCATTTGTCTGCCGTTGTCTTCCAGCCTGTTTGTCTCCCTTTGTCTCCCTTCATTTGTCTCTTGTAGCCTGGATGCCTGGCGCCCTTTGTCTCCCTTTTTGTCTCCCATTGTCTCCCAGCTTGGATGTCTGGTACGGCTCTCCGGGGGGACGGGTTCATTTGTTTCCCTTTGTTTTTTTTGTTGTTGGATGCCTGGCACGGCTCTATGGGTGGACGGGTTCATTTCGCCCCTTTTTTCCACCCGGTTGTCTCTCGGGCTGGATGCCTGGCTCAGAAACGCGTGTTTGAACGCGCGCGTGCGCTTGATCAAGCCGCAGGCAGCATGCTGCGGATGCACGCATGAGTGCTTCAAGTGAATGATTGTGTGTTCTTGGTGTGTTCCGGTTGACCACATCGGCGCGTTCGAAGCGAACACGCCCTTTTTGCATGTGACCACATGAGTGTGTTCCACGTGAGCACATGTTTGTGCTCCAGGTGAAAGCATGCGATGGTTCTGATAAAACACATATGCGATCCGGTCAACATTCTTAGTAAGGGGGGTTTAGTCTACACAGGCCACCGTCGCACTGGAGGCGCTAGGATGGCGCTTGGTTTGCGCTAGGGTCTTCGGTGATCTTGGTTTCCAAGAGTTGGCGCGTTGGTTGCCGCGATGGGCTTTGTGTTGCTATCCAAATTTACTTTCGCTCTCCTCGCATGCAATTACCATGGAATGAAAAAGCGGCTGAGGCGAGAAGGCAGGGATGCCTTGTACCAAGCGTGCGGAAGAATTGGGTTGCGTATGTCCCTGCGAAGGCAAATGCTTTACTGAATTGGCACGAAGAGTTGCCACAATACGATAAAGGCACTTTAGAGCGTTCTATCGAGCATTAAATTGTTCGATATGAAAGAGACTGCGCAGCTAAGCGAGAAAGAAGCGCAATGCGCCGGAAAGCTTTTGCCAATGCGAAACCTGTAAATGCAGGAGATGCATCCGGCACTGATAGTACTAGCAGTAGTAGCAGCAGCAGCAAGCCCGCGCGCCACAACGTGTTGCAAGCTAGAGTGATCGCGCGTGAACACTATTTTCCTACTTGGAACCTGCCTATAAAACACAAGCGTTGTTCACGGCAGAGCCCCATGGAATAGCGCCTCACGGCCGGCTTCGGGAACTTGATTTACGTGTCGGCCAGGGCTGCAGAAATGTAGATTCCATGTGACCACATTTTCGTTGTCCAGGTGAAAGCTGTGTGTTGCACATTTGTGTTGCACATGTTTCTCCACACGTGCACATTCGTGTGTTCCATGTGTGCACATATGTGTGTCACAAGCCAACGCAGAAGTTTGTTCTGGTTAAACATGTTTGTGCGATCCAGGTCTGCACCAGTGTTGCACGTGAACACAAATGCCTGCTCCAAGCGAGCGCATGTATGGGTAGCAGGCGAACGCAAATGTGTGTTGCAGGTGAACAGAAATGTTCTTTCGAAACATACACACACATGTGTTCCAGGAACACATGTGTGTGATTAGATGAACGCGCGTGTGTGTGCGTGCGTGTTCCGGGTACACATATGTGTGTTCCACGTGTACACATATGTGTTCATATGCGTGTTGCACGTGTACACAGACGTGTGTTTACGTGTACACACTTCTGTGTTCCAAATACACACGTGTTTTTGTGTTCCAGGAGAACACGCGTTTGTTATGAGATGAACACTCGTGTGTGTCTGTGCTTTCCGCTTGCGCATAAAAACGTGTGTGTTCAAGTGTGCAGTACACATGTGTGTGCTCACGTGTGCGCGCTTGTGTCTCCCACGCGTACACATATGTGTGTTCACGTGTGCACACATGTGCGTTCGAATTGGACACGTGTTTGTGTGTTCACGTGTACACAAACGTGTGTTCCACGTGTACACATACGTGTCTGCGTTCCAGGAGAACACATGGTTGTTATGAGATGAGCGCGGGTGTGTGTTCCGGGTGCACATATATGTGAGTTCACTTGTACACATACGTGTGCCTCACGTGTATGTTTGTGTTCCAGGTGCACAGATGTGTGTTCCACGTGAACACATTAGTATGTGCTAGGTGGACATTTTTGCATCTGACGACATATTTGCTTTTCAGGTGTGCACATGTGTGTGCTCCAGAAAACGCATGATTGTTTTCGAGGCGCGCGCAGTTGTGCACACATGTATTGCACGTGTTTGTGTTCCAGGTGAACACATGCGTGTTCAACGTGTACACGCATGTGTCTCTGAATTGGACACGCGTTTCATTGTGTTCCAAGTGAGCACACATGCGTGTTCCACGTGAACACATTAGCGTGCCGCAGGTGAACACATATGTGTGTTCCAGGTGTACACTGTGGTGTGTGTGTGCTTTCTTGGATGCGCCGCAGCTGAACGTAGATATGTGTACTCGCGGGTGCGCATCTGCGCGTGCCGCGCGGGCTGTTTCAGCCGTATACATATGTGAGTTCCACGTGTACACACATGTGTGTCTGAATTAGACATGTGTGTGTCTGAGCTGCCCATGTCACCGCGCGCTTGCGCAGCCACGCTTGCGTTCTCCCGCGCGCGTGCTCGCCCGCTATCGCACGCGCTTGCCCGGTTGACGACAGCATCATTTTGCTTCATCCGTGTTGAAGCGCAGAAGGCCACAAGCTGTTGCCATGTTTGTGCTTGCCCGTCAGTCCTCAGCCGTTTGGGATCTCTGCTGGTGTAATTTAAGCGCCCTAAGATGCACAGGTTACCTAATTATGGCGCTATTCAGTGCGTCTACTCACGCTCGCTCACTGGCTCGCTCGCTTGCTCACTTGCTTGCTCGCTCACGCGCTCGCCCACTCGCTCACTCACTCACCCACTCACTCACTCACTCAACTCCACTCCGCGCCGCGCCGCGCCGCGCCGCGCCCACTCCACTCCACTCCACTCCATCCACTCCATTCACTCCACTCACTCCACGCGCTCCACTCACTCCACTCACTCCACTCACTCCACTCACTCCACCACCACTCACTCCACTCACTTGACTCACTCTACTCACTCCACTCACTCCACTCACTCGCTCCCTCGCTCCCTCGCTCACTTGCTCACTCACTCACTCACCCACTCACTCACTCACTCACTCACTCACTCATGGACTCATGGACTCACTCACTCACTCACTCAGAGCCGTGCCAGGCATCCACCACCAGAAGGCAAATGGCAGGCGAGGTGGAGGACAACGGAGGACAAATGAAGGGAGACAGGGGGAGACAAATGAACCCATCAAACCTTGGGCGACAAATGAATCCGTCCCCAGAGAGCCGTGCCAGGCATGGAGACAACGGGAGGCAAGGGAGACAAAGGGAGACAAACGAAGGGAGACAAAGGGGGACAAATGAATCCGTCCACCCACACAGCCGTGCCAGGAACCCAGGCTCGGCAGACAATGGGAGACAAATGCAAGCAAACAAAGGGAGACAAATGAACCTATCCGCCCACCGAGAGCTGTGCCAGGCATCGAGGCTAGGGCTTGGCAATAGGCGAGTCACTTTAAATGAATCAAAACTGTTTGGGGAAAAATTGCCATCTATTGTCTGGCCCCGACGCCCGAAGTGTAAAACCCTTATTGGAGCCAAAGTGGATGTCACATGACTCCCTGAAGAGGAATCCTACAATAGGCCGTCTATTCGCCGAAAGGATCCATGACCATCCTCACCCGGGCTTCCAGCACCTTGGCTTGATTTCCCAACCTGCCTTCTGGAATGCCTGAGGTGCCTCAGGCCGGGATGAAACCAATTTTGGTCTGTGAACACCAAAAGGCTGGCAATTCCGAGAACTCGGAATTCAAGCAACCCTATAGCAAGAAACCTCCATGCGTGAGCCCTCATCCTTGACAAAGCAAAACCCTGCAACGGGAATCCTCATTTAAATCACTAAACCTTGGCCAACGCTAGCGGCGTCCCAAAAAGTATAAATTGGGGCCACACCGCAGAAAAGACCCATTCAGCTCTTGGCTTATCTGTGGAGACCTACTTCGGATTCGCACGACTCCATGCGTCATTATCATGGCTCCATGGCTTAAGCTCCATGGCTTAAACCCATTGCCAGCACAAGGTTGCTGACCCAAACGGGCGCGCGCCAATAAAAGAAGACGTCAAGCAATGCGTATGTTTGGCACGTTATCCCACATATAGCTTCTTGGTTTCCTTAAGCCTTGCGCATGGCAATAGCAACCGGCAAACAACACAACCCCCTTCCCTTCATCGGAGGCGATCTGTGCGCAACACCTACCAGCAAGAAAGTGTCATGGTACTTTTCATTGATTGCCAACAAGGAAAGCAAACAAACAAACACCAAAGCAAATGGAAGCACCTTGTGAACCATTGAGCTGATAATCCTCTCCCTCAGCTGACAACAATTTCTAACTGCGCCAATTGAACTTGATCCAAGGGCAAGAAAGTCACACTGTGCTGTCAGAAGAAAAAGGAACTTGCGGCAAAAATGGGACCGCGCGTTGGCTCTTGGAAAGGAAGCTGTCAAAGGCAAAAACTTCGACATGTTCCCCTACTCATCTTGCAAGTCAGCTCTTCCATCGCCTTGCAGCCTTACTCAGATAATGGTAGTACTGATGGTAATTGCCGAGGTGTTTGACATGGTATAAGTCACATTGGTGCCCTAAAAGTAGAGTTCCTCAAGATGTGTGGTTGATTTTAAGTTTCCCTTCGACAAGGCGCCATCAAGAAAAGAGCCTTTGCAGGTAGAACCGCTTCTTTTGATTTGGAACTTTCGCACTTCCACTTGCCATGGAAGCAACTTGCCCTGAGGTTTCCTTTGGGAAAGAGCCAACAGGAACCCACCTCAAAAGCAAGTCGGAAACAAGGGGTGTAGGGGATAACCTGAACACAAACCAAACAGGCCCAAAGGGCCCGAGACCCGTGAAGTTATTTTGGGGTTTGACTAGCAGAGATTCCTTTGTTGTTTTTGGGTGGTTGGTTCCGAACCCAGCAAACAGAGCGATTTTGACTGCAAATCTCTCACCCCGCCTTCAATTTTTCCATCGCTGGCAGGGGGTCACTCTGCCTGCGGCTTGAGCAAACATCCCTCAACAGTTTCAATACTGCCTGCCTAAAACCCACAATGTTGGCTTTTTGTCAAAATTTGGGCAAGTAGAATGATTCACCAGGTGATTAGAAAGACCCCGAGTAACAGGTTTCCGCTTGACTAGTTTGCCCAAAATACACATTTCGCACACCTAGGTGTTCTTCTGGAACAAAAAACTGTCACGGGCAAGTGGCTGTAGCCAAACTGAAAACCGCATGGATGATTAATCAAGTTGACAAAAAGAAGGCGGGCGTCAAATCTACCTGTGCCCCGTTTCATTGTGGCCTGGTTTTCAAGGGCAACCACATGCGAAAGGGCTACTGTATACCTGACCCAAGTAAGGTCTGAAAATCGTGAATTTGGAGGAACTGCTTGCAACAGCGAAGCTTGGGCGCCATGCTGCGGGCAAAGAATGGATGATTGCAACTTCTTCTGCGCAGCCAAGTAAAAGTCTAACACATGCAGCGGCAAAGATGTGTTTGGCACTGCTCTCATGGTCCTAAAGGGGCCTGTACATTTACTGGGTTTGTCTCCAACTGAGGAAGCACATTGTGCTATTTGCCTTCGGATACCACCACCCACCCATGTGTCCGCCAAGAAAAGACTACTCAGGAGAAATTACTCAAAGATCTAAGCTGCTTGCATTCCACTAAACGGTCGTCGCAAAATGTAAAAAGTTCAGGAACAGAAAGCAGACAGAAGGCATAGAAAAATTTGGTGTGAGATTTGGAGGCACAGAACGCATGATGCGAGTGTCGCGCTCTGGCGAGTGCCTCTCATCGGCACTGCAACAGGGTTTTCAAATCGTCGGATTTTTTGGTTTCATAAGCTAACCTACGTTTTAGAAAACCATACACCTGGGTCTCCCTTCCGTTTCCTTAAGATCCAGCTCGTGGCCGAAGACTAAGCTTGAGACAAGGCCTTGGGTTGCATCTACAAAAAAACTGGTCTCGGAGAAAATGAACCCAAAACGAACAGAATGAACAACCAAACAACTAAACAAACGTGCCCCCTTCAGACGTGCAAGAACAACACATCGGGCTGGAGGCATCAGAGCTCTTGGAGGGAGCATTTAAACAAACCAATGACAACAATTATTCTCAAGAAACGCCTGCAGAATGTTCCTCCCAACTGCACATGGCCATGAACTTACATATGGCTACGAATCTTTGGAGCGTATGTAACGTGCGTCACGCCACGAATCTTGCTACGGAGCTGTAAGCCAAGCGACGGCCAAAAGGGGGGCCACTGGCCTTGTGCAACAAGGCATAGCAAAGTGCGGCGCCCCACGCTCTCGTCCGCAGCTCCAGCATGAAAGTTGAACGCAAACCAAGCAGCGGCAAAAAGGGGTTGGGTCTGTAACGAGGTGTGTGACGGATATGCAACGGTGTGGAACACGATATAGCAGAAAGAGGTTGTTTTCTTCCGGCTCCTGTCCCAACTTTTCACTTGAATGGCAAGCTCTCTGCAAGTTGAACCTTCAACGAAAGCATGCCCTGCAAAAGTCTGCCCTGCAGGCACCCGCGGGAAATCACAGAGAGTCTGCGCATGCGTCGGGGTAAAAAGCAAGGGGGCATACTACCAGCCCAGCGGATTGCTCGCGCGAGTCCCCCGCGGCTCTGTTGCAGACCCCTAAGAAACTCACTGCCATGTAAGCACTGCGTATGCTGGAAACGTGCCCCAAGGGCAAGTGATTCAGGGGCACGGGGTGCTTCCGTTTCCCTCGAACCATCGGAGCACCCAGTAGGAGGCGCCAAATAAAGTGAATGTAATAGAACTCACAATCTGTTGGTGGCTCCCATTCCGAGTTCCAATCATTTGTGGTGGGTCTCGTGTTCCTTATTCTAGGCTTCACCAAAGAAATCTAGAGCGAGCTCCCCCACCTTCCTGCTGAGGCCCCAGCTCCTGCGGATCCTCAGGTCTCAGGCCTCATCGCTTGGCCACAATTGCTTAAAAAGTGGGGCGCTTATTTCTGGTCGGGACTGTCCATCTACGCGGGTTTTGATTGCGGCTGTCGTGTCGTCTGGGGCTTTGGCCAGGAACCAAGATTCAAAACCCAACCAACCTCCAGCTTCAAAATCTGCCCCTCCAGCAAAGCAACACGAGAGGGAGCAGTCATATCCGAAACCGAAGCTTTACACGGGGGCTGTCGCCCAAAACGACCAAGGCGCACCCAAGTCATAGTGAACCCGCAAAGGACCGCGTAGGATCAAGGCAATGTTCACGCCCACGAAGCCTCCTCCTATTCACACAAAAGCGGATCCTCCTGACCCTTCCAGAAACTCGAGCGGCATCTTTTCCAAAAAATATTCTCGCAAAAGTGACTTGCTGTGATTTTGCCAGGTGAGCTGATCATCGAAGCGAAATTGTGGGAGGGGCGTCCTTCGAGGAAAAGATTCCCACAGCCAAAGGAATGCCAAGATAGTCAATAGCTTTCATATCCTTCACCAACTGCCAAACCAAAGGAGTGGACTTCTTGACACCCCTAATCTGACGACAGGTTTTGACTTGAGTGCGAAGTTCCTTTGCCTGCCCCAAGTCTCGGCGGAGTCAAAAGCATGTTGAAGCTCGCTAGAGTTAGTTTGAGTAAACAACAGTCTATCGTCCACATGGCTGGCTGCAGCCATGCTGATTGGGTCCTGCTGGGGAACTCCAATAGTCCCCTTGATAGGTTGCCTGGCAACCACCCCAAAAATGGAGACAAACCTTCTCATGTGATACACTGTGTGAATGCCCATGCCCCAATCTAGGAGGGCTTGAGAAGCAGGCCAGGGTCGAAAAACCTTCATAGTTTCAACTGCTAGTTTCATGGAAAGACAAAATTCCAATATTTTGAGATTTCTCTAGGAGAGCGAAGCATGTAGCCAGGCCTGGCGCCCGCTCCTGCCTGGTATTCCTCCAATAACGTTGGCCGGGAGATTTTTAAAAAGAATTTCCCCACATTTACATAGCCACTTGTGGAATATACGCAACACCGTGACTTCGATCGAAGTTGGCCTCAAAGCATTCAAATCAAAGCCAGAGTCCCATTTCGGAATAACGACACGCTTGGCATTAAGCTGTGGAGAAAGTTCATTTTGAGGAAGCTTCTTGAAGTGTGCATAGGTCCACCCTCCAAGCCCAGGCGAGGAGACCCTATTTCGTTTTTGACGAATCTGATGCATTCCACATCGCCTCAAAAACTTCATGGTTGGCTTGCCCAGTATCCCGCATCTTGCTGGCGTCATGCGAGTAGACATCAGCAAAGCAGCCCCCAATAACATCTTGATCCGGCACTGGTCTATCCGGCACTGGTCTTGATAAACGGCGGGGCCCGCCGAATCGGGGCCTTTACCCATCTGCAAACTCACCCAGTTACTCCTCAAAGATCTATCATCAGGTTCGGTCATTCTGTGCTTCCAGTTCTGAAGCTTCTCAAGCAAGGGCTGCCCCAACTCAAGAAGTGCTTCACGAACGTCTTCCTGCGCAGATGCATGCTTGGACTGCGTAATGAGCTTCCGATGATAACCCATTTTTTGATGATTTTTCCGGTGGGTTTTGACCCAAGGCCAGGAACTCTCTCGAAGTCAGTACGATGATTCCAAAACTTAAAAAAGGCAGAGGAGAAAATCGCCCAGCAGGTGTCCACATCGAAGTTCTCAAAAGCTCTGTACCACTCTTCTTGAAGAGCATCCCAAGCCTGTATTTTTTGTTGCATCTGGTCTGGAGATATTGATGGGCTTCAGCTTTGTCGAGCCTAGAGGAAAGAATGGCATGACCATTTTGACAGGGGAAAAGAGTGGTGGGGGCCCAACAAACTCCATCCGGAATGTCGCCAATCTTGGTTACACTCTGCTCTTTGGAAGGTAAACGCCTCATTGCCCAGAGCATCCAGCAATTTGTAGTACAAGTTCATAAAGAGCAAATCCATGTCAGATCCCCTGGACATAAATCATTGAGCAACTGGAGGTTCTTCTGCGGGTCATCCCATCGAAGAAGGTAACCGCCAAAAATCTGCCTTGTTCATACCAGTGCTGCATCTTTCTGGCGTCTGTTCAATATGTGCTGATTTTTTTTCAAAATCCAAACAGCAACCCGGAACAATGCGTATGATGAAGCCCCACGTTACCATTCCCCTTCTTGTTCCACGTGGGACAGTTCACAAAGAGCAACTGACACCTGGAAGAGAATCAACAGAATTAGAAAAGAGTTAGGCCTTTCTAAACTCCATACGTGTTTCCTGAAGCGCAATGATGGCAAAGAAGATTCCAGGAGCCAGGAAAACCCTCATTGGCCATGCCTCAGAGTGCGCAAAGCGGCACACCCCATCCATGGAATATATAGGTAGGTCAGAGTGACCTCCATGAACATGAGTTTGTTGAGGACCTAGTCACAGCTGACCATCTCCTCCATCATAGATTGGATGCTGCAAGGTCTTCCTCCATTCTTGTACCAAGTGCTTGCACTTCTGGAGAAAGGAGCAGAGATTGAAGAGCTTGACGCTGTTCAGTCATCGCTGAGATCTGTGCCATAATCTCCTCCCTGGACAAGGTTCCTGCATGTCATTGACCTGATTGGTGGACTCGGTGGGCGTGCTGGTTCAAATTCGTTCGAAACTCCCCTCCTCACCCCACTACAAACCAGCTTGGGTGATTTCGGTTTGGGAGTTGGGGAGTCGCTCCTGACCGTGGACTGAACCGTCACAGCACTCATATCCGAAGAATAATGGAGCAGACGTGAGGGGGAGCCCTGCGCCTCTCGCAAGACATCGCAGAGAGCAACTTCTGCAACAAAATACGGTGGAAGCCCCATGAGGCGATACAAAGACGCACTGACTTGTCCAAGGGCCTCCTTGGCCGGCTGAAACTCAGCCCGTGACACTCTCGAAGCATAACAATCTTGTTTCTTGAAAAGCCCATAGTGGGCAGAGATGTAGTTGACTAAATCCAAAGTCTGTTCCTTCGAGAGTGGAACGCCGTCTCTCTTGAACCATACTGGCTGAAACATTATGGGGCACCCTCTGGACATGTCGATTTCAATAACTGGGGAAGACATTTTGAGGACGTCTTCCAATTTGTTGGTGGGGATACGAGCATTGATACCCCGCTGCCCTTCCATCTTTTTCAGGTTCCCAATATTACCCAGTTGGTGCTGAATAACTCTATCATCTGTTCCAAATTTCACCATCAATGAATAAGGACGCTGTGTGAGCTGCGCGGTTGTCCGTATTGTCTTTCTGGCTGATTCTGGCGCAGTCCCTGACAAGACATGAAGGTGCCCAGATAGTAGAACCGTGTCCTGGAAACTGCCTTGAGTCTTGCGCAAGCGGATTTGCATTTCAATAGGGGCCTTCTTCTCAATGGCATGTGGTTGGGGCATCATCAGAGACACATTGAAACTGCCGTTCTTAATTTTGCCGGCCAGTTTTGTGCCATTGAGGCATCCTGAACCAAACAAATACCATGTGTCCCCGCATTGAAGGAAGAAACGTTCTTGGTGGGACAGTTCCAGTCTTCCGGAATGAGCTCAATCGTAGGTTCCGGCAAAGCATCCTTGCCCTTTTTCCCTTTCCCTTTAGGGTTGTCTTTCCCTTTCGTCGTGCGCTCCAGGACGGGATGTTTGCTGGTTTTCCCTTTTCCTTTGGGCAAATCGGAATTATGGAGCTTGCAACTCCCTGTGCCCTTTTCCTTTTTGATGGCCCGGTTCAGCCTGGGGAGCCTGGATGCTCTTTTCAGAGGCCCTCATGATTTCTCTGATCTGGTTTTGCCCACCATTGTTGAGAACTTTATCTCGGAGCTTGGAGTCCAAAACCAGAAGTGCCCGAACTTGCTTTGGGGCAAACTCAACATCAGCCTTAAGCACTTTCTGCTGGGCTTTCCCAATGGCCTCTGCCTCAGCAAGCAATTCTGATATTCATCAAATAGAAGTGGTGCGCATCCCATCCAGCATAATGCCAGGGTCAATACCCCTGTGGCCTCAACACCGCCTACAGTGTCGGAGAATCTTCAATAGGATCTGTAGCTTTTAGGTCTTCTCCTTCAAGGTGCCCAGGTTCCAATATCCCAGACACATTGCAGCGTGGCTGCGTGGCCATTCTGCTCGGCCTGCCACCAGTCTGTACTCCCCACAAAACCCAGTGTCAACACTGAAAGGGATGGTAGGAGACATATCACTCATTGCTTGATTCCTCATCAGGTACCCTTCTCTGAACTTCTTGCTGCGTTTGCAAACATCTAGCAAGCCTGCGGCTCCGCTTCCTCAATGTGCTTTGCAATCTGACAGCTTCACCAATAGCAGTCTGCGCTTCCCTACATCTGTGAACCATTTGAAAGGCAGAGGAGTCTGAAGTAACAGAGCCTTCCTCCAAGTCAACTTGGGTCTGGTCAGAAACCCCGACCAGATGGGACCAGGAGGTTTCGAGCAAACCGTCCTGTGATGTCGAAGTGCCACCCAAGAGCGGGATCACTTTCAGGAGGCAAACTACAGGAGTCCAGGAGAACCGATCGAATCCTTTCAACCGTGTATTCATCAACCCCCAACATTCCAGCAATAGTAGGACAGGGCTTTCCATGAACAAAGTGCTGCGGCCTCATTTTCCAAACTTGCCCATCAAAGCTTGTTGGTCAAGTTCACAGGAAAGGGCAATTGCATCTCTAACACCCCTGTCAGATTCTTGATCAATCTTTCCTGTTGAACTGATTCGCACATCAGCTTGCGGCAATCTGCTTCGAGACCAAAAGATTGAGCTTCTGACAAATAATATTTGTCAAAATCAAAATCTTCTTGGTTTTTCACACAAAACCTGAGCATAGGTCTAATACTTAGCCAAGGGGAACAGGTCTCTTATCCTGTCATTGAATGGTTTCCACTGGGCCATCTCGCTCATTCATGCCACCCTGTATCGCTCTTTTGCGTGGCAAAGGCGGACGTCCATCTGGACCCAGGCATACACTGCTGAAGGAGGGCTCTGTATTCTCCCTCGTCCATATAGATACACCCATCTCGCGGCCTTTCATAGCTGGGGTCCTTTCAGATCATGCACGTGTGAGAGAAGTGAACCTCAAGATGGCTCCGGTCTTTCTTCGCAGTTCTCCGTGCCGTGGATCTCCCTGTAAAATTCGTATGGTACTCCCCTTCTCATCTCATCATCCGTCAAGTAGTAGGACTACTCATCACTTCCTCCGCCCTGAACTTCTCTTCAATATAAATCTTGCATACACCTTGCGTTGTATCTGCATGTCTCAGCTGAGATTGGAATACCATTCGTGACAAACAATTGCTGATACAAACCTTAAGGAAATTGAAATCATTCAAATCCACATGTCGCCCTCCCTTAATTCGCCGGCACTGAGAGGGTCCACATTTCTCCCAAGCCACTGTACCCATCTGAACCTAATGCCGGTTTTGCTGGCATAGCGCTTGAAAACTCCTCTGCTTGTCCATCGAATTCTTCTGCGATGAGGACTTCCTCCATCTCTTCTTCCAATTGCGACGGCTCTCCCTGATCTTCAGGAAGGTGATGAGAAGTAGGGGTGCAAGTCCCAGCCTCCTACACTTGGCTGCAAAAACCTCATCGTTGCCAATGTGCTCATGAAGATTGCAATACCCTTTGAATTGCGAGGCCCCCTGGCCCAGTAAACATTGAAAAGCATCTCCAAAGGATTTCTGCAGTGGCACCCCAGCATCCAGAATCTGTTGAACACTGACTGCAATAACCAGGTCACATCCGTGATTCACACAGTATGTTGCGCCCTGCTTCCGGATGGAGCTCCTCGCGTGGCTCTTTTGATGGCTCAGAACTGGGGCGCTGGCACGCGGCTCCCGGGCAAAGCTTAAACATAAACTACCTCATGGATCTGCAAGGCGCAAACAAGGAGAACTAATTATGGCTCAAATCGTTTGCACAAATACCAAGTGACCATTTCGGAAGACCCCCCCAAATGTGGACATTCCATATGCTACATGGGAAATCATAGTGTTGGTATTGCGGAAGGCTTGCAAACGCGAAGGGGTTGCGATGGCTCCAACACTATTAAATAGCTCTTCTGTAAGTATACAGGAGGGAACTGTTGTGTAACTCCAATCTGGCATGGAGCCCCCCTGGATGACGGCTTGACTAGGACATCAAGAAAACCCGACAAGCCACTACAAAGACACCTCATTTTGCTCTTCGACCTCGACGCGACGAGTCAATTGGTGCAGGGGCCAAACTTTCCCCCCTTTCTTGACAGCTGAAACAAAGCGTGGCCAAGAAACCTAAAAAGAAGGTCTCTGCGTATTCCAGAAGGCGTGGGTAAGGCAAGAAAAGTGTTTGAGGCTGGCGCAGGACGAGCTCCTACCTCAGGCGCAGAATTCGCTTGCAAACTTGCAGGCAGTTTGGTCTCATCTGTCTGGCAACAAAAACAGGATCAGCCCCATAGGGCCACCAAGCGCTGCGTTTCTTTTTCTCCATGAAAGCTGCACGCTCGCTTCACACACCCACTAGCACACCCACCCACACGCACGCATGCAGGCGTGCACACACACACACACATCAACAGGGTCATCAAGACTTGTGCGCTTTATCTAGCACAGCATAGGCGACATGCATGACCATTCCCTTGGCAATGGCAAGAATCAGCTGCTAGCTGCTGTTTGATGGTGAGTCAACTGCCATGCCCGTGGGCACTGCGCCAGCAACATCGTGTGGTTGAGTCTTGTTTAGGGGTCGGACATGGGTCAGGGAGTCTTTCTGCATAGGTCTGTCTATACTTCACCTTTGAACGTTGCCCTACTTGACAGACTCTATGTTAGAACATCGTGTGGTGAATCCATTTTCTAACTCAACCCGGGTTGGAACTCTTTCGGGCGTGCGATATGTCTCTGAGTATTTTGCTTTAGAACGCACAAATTAGAACATCAACAATGGCCAAGTATGTAAACTGTGACTTTGCTTATCAATCCAAAGCCACCGAAAAGGCACAAGTTGGTGAACCCAGGGATTTTTTGCTATCTTACTATGCACTTTTTCTGTGGAGGGGTTGGCGTTTCACACGGCTTTGTTTGCAACATATGACAAACTGGACAATGGTGCCTCTGTGGGCGGCTGTGTTGTGAGCCTGCTCCAGAATACGTAGCACACCCTCAACCCTCAACCCTGAAAAAACTGGAAAGTTTCAAGTCCATATGTGCAAGAGCAGTCCTCTAATGGCTTTTGCCCTACACAACCCCCAGCCTGAGAAGTTGCCGGCCCTTCCCGGCCGCCAGTGAGAGTGAAATGAGTTGCCGCACTTGCCCAACTCGCCCCACTCGCCCCACTCACTCCACTCGCTCCGCTCAACTCCTCTCACTCACCAAAGCTGTGAACCTCTTCGCCTTGCCAGAAGGTAAGACTAAAGCATCCTGAAGAAAACTCGCAACACCCTGGTGTTTGACCGCTAAAACGCTGATGGGTTTTCTTTTTGGTCTGGCTTGCCTGGAAACACCTAATTTGCCCAGCTGCGACCAGATCGCTTCTTCTCGTCCTCATCCCGGGACATAAGCTTGACAATACCGTCCTGGCTTAAACACGTCTATGCAACGATTGTCAGTTTTCCTTCATTAGGGTCTTGGGCGCTGCCGCCGTCGAAAAAAGGATGGATTCCACAGGCACATGGCTACAGCCAAGCCAAAACCATTTTCCACTTCTCAATCCAAGCCGGCCAAAATACTACACCGACGCATCTTGCTGTTTTAACCACATTTTCTCACCCCTGCATCAGGGTGGGTAAGTGGTGTTAGAAATGAGGGGCTGGCAAACGCTGGGCAACCTATGAGAGAATCGGGATCCACTGGGTGTGAGGAACCATGCTTGTTGACACGACCGAGAAATACAAGGTGATCACTTAGGCTGCCAAGACTAAAACTAGTTCAAGTCAGAGAGGCCAACATGTAATTCGTACATTGGCAAAAAACAAATGAGCCTTTTGATCACAGAAATCCCACCAAACATCGTTCATGTTCTAATTCAAAGGAACTGTCCAGCCCTGCTTCATTGTGGCGAGGTTTCCTGCAAACAGAAGTGGACATCCACAAAACGACTTCGCTTGGGCTGAAATCGGCCAACTGCCTGTTTGAACAACTGTGTGCTTGGAAACCGCTACTTCGCTCACTTGCTACGTGCCCTGTAGGAAATTGCGGTTTTCCTGCTGTTTGCTAAGACGTCAGAACCAGCCAGTCAAACAATCTACGTTTCCCTGACGTTCCAGGTTTGCCCCATCTTGTCGGTAAGGCCATCCGACCCATGGAAGATCACTTGGCTATATCAAACCGCTAAGGGGAGCTTCCGCAAAAAATAAGACGCAGCGCCTTGTGGGTGGCAGATTCAAAAACACGCCTCGCACTGCCAGTTTAGAAAGCCGCCAAGGAAATCGAACTTGTCAAGACCAAGGGATAATCTCCGCTTTGAAGGCAATTGGAAGACTCTGGCCATGATGAACTTCCTCAACAAATCGGGCTTGCTTGTTGCTTCCCAAGTTTCGGGCGGGGTGGGCTGGGGCACGGTGTGCGTGTGTGTTTGTTTTTACAGGCATTGAACCCCACGGAATCTTACTCCGCCACATTGGCTCAAAGGGCCCTTCCGACTTTCATTCGCTCATAGCATAATGAAAAGCCCCTTGCGGAGCGCTGAGCATGATCTTGAGTTGCGCCTTCAAGAGTCGAAGCGCTGCTTCCGCTCGATTTGGCCACGGTGTAGTTGCTCCCTTTTTAATGTCGAGGGATTGATAGAAGCGCTCCCATGTTTCAGTCACGCAAGCTTGATCTGCGACAACTGGTTTGACCTGCAAGTGGTACCGACCAAAGTGGTTCCTGACAACAGCGATGTGCCCGACTTTCTGCGTAGTAGACACTGCCTCTGCAGTGAGCAATGTTGTTGCTCTAATTAGGATGATAAAAAATGATGTGTTGTCCAGTTCCGAGGGTTGAGTGATCATTGAACGTCATGTCTCTAAATCCGTCCGCTCGAAGTCCACTCGTTTTGCTTTTTGTTTTGCTGCTTGGCAAACTTCGCACTCAGTTCGGATCTTGTCAAACAGATCGTCTGACGATTTTGGTATGTGAAGCGCGCGGGTCCTCAATCGGTCAGCATTCCTGCAACCATGCTGGAGGTGGAGCTTCTTCAACGATTCTGGCTTGGACAGTCGCTGACGGTTTCTGCCCAGGGCAAGTGGAACCGATGTTGGTTCATCTGCGGATGGTGCAAAAGGATCTCTTCCTGTCGATGGACAATTCTCTGAAAGACGAAGAAGCAGGTTCAGGATCTGGTGTGATCTTGTCATGTTGAGGTGTGTGCTCGACGGTCATGTAGAGCTTTCTCATTTGGCTCATACTGAAGAGTATGTTGACCTTGGCTGTCTCTCCACTGGCAACCAGGAACTTGGTCTCGGCCGCGTTCAAACTGCCTGTGTAAAAATGCTGAATTTCGTGCCAGTTGCCAGTACATCCGTTGTCCAGGTTGCATAGGTTGGGCTGTTCTAAGGGTTGATGACAGGGCCCATAGCAAAGGTTGTGACTGACAAGTTGCGCGCTTTGTTCTCATGCTGCTGGAACGCGCCGTGGATTGCCATCATCACATGTCCTGTGCTGGATATCTCAGGATGAGTACCAGCCTGCCTCACTCCAATTCCATGATTGATCCCAACCTTGGCCACTCCAACCGGCACAGGTAGGCTCTGGAAGGTCGGCAATCTGCTGCGTGGTAGGATGCTCCTCCGGTGTTTATGCGACGGTTGCGAACTTTTTTTGAATTTGTGTTTTTTATTATTATCCTGTCCGCCTTTTCCTCTCTTTCCTGTCTTGCCTTTGCCTTGTCCCCGATATGCCTGGTCATAAGGATCATAGTTTTCGTTGTCCATATTTGACTTTCCGACGGATGCGCTCTTGCAAAGGGGTTTGAAGCCACCTTGTCGGTGACTGCGCTTTTGCTTCTGGATTTGACATTGCCTTTTTGCCGAATCTCAAACTCTGCCCAGACACTTTCCTGGCAATGGACCCAGAATGTCTCTTCATCTTCCGTCGCCATGAATCCTTCGTGTCCTTCTTCATCCTCAACCCAAAAGCCTTCTTCTCCTTCGTATTCTCCTTGTCCCGAGATATAGAAGGTGTGTGGCAGCGGTTGCCTCCTGATGTTCTGGTCGTGACGAAGAGATCGTGTTACTGTGTTTCAGCATCTCGTAGGAGTAACTCTTGGGTGAGATGTTCCTCAAAAACCTTGCGCTGATCAGTCTTTCTCTCGGCTGATCTGACAGTTCACTCTGGATGATAAAGAATTGTGCAATGAAAGTCTCGTTGAGTAGAAATGCGTCCCTGTGTCTTGTCTGCGTACTGTTTCAGTACTTCTGGATCATCTGCGGCAAGCAGGCGGTGCCCTGGCACCGGCAGCTTTCTGGTGCTGGACAACTCTTCTCATGTTTGCATCTTGGACTGATGCAAGAAACTCTGGTGACTGTGCCGTATAGGCGGGCATCGGCATGACAAGGTTGTCAAACTTTGACGTGAATACGGGGAACTCCAAGTTCTGTCGTCGATGGTTGAAGAAAGTGAGAAAACGGTACAAATACACGTTGGTCGTTCCCTTCAGAAAGAATTTCGTCAGCGTGTCCTTGAAGTAGTTGACCCTTCGGCGGGATCTTGAAGCAACTTGTACATGTAAGCATCTCCCATGAGCCTGCTTTTGAGGAGAGGTCCTCTCTTGGATGCTTCAACCGCGTTGAATGTCGTCCAGTCATCCACAAGCTCCTCATTCCTGAACTGGCTGACTTTTCCGTCGTGCAATGGCAGCTGTTGGGAGGTCATCAATACATTGACGGTCTCTTCAGTGCTGCCAATTAATTCCATGAAGCCCTTTCCATCGGATAACCTCCGCTAACACAACTTAATTTCACACTTGCCCCAGGAACTCTGTGTGGCCCTGTATCTGTTTCCCTGGGATCCTATTGATGTGCGCTGAATGGATGTGTTGACCAACGGAATGGATGTGACTGGTGAACACTCTGTTGATAATTTGTAGCTTGCAGAGCGTCCATCAAGGCAGGAACAGAACCTGCTCCTCAAGAAGGTCACACACAAACAATTTGCTAAGGCCGCTGCAGCTGTCGGAAACCAGACTGTCACCTACGGGGGTGTAACACCATTGGAACTTGCATTCGGACAGATCTCACCCAGCTCGGTGCGCCACACCTACGCAGTTGACGATCAACAAGAACGAGGAAGAGCTGGCGGTAAACCAGTGCATCCAAGGTTCGTTCCGATGGAAGCAAAGGAGGCATACGGTTAAAAGGGAAAGTCGTTTCCATCGCGGTCTCGGAACTCGGCTTGGTAAACATGACGAAGGTCAGAAAGGATGAAATCATCCGACCTGGAAAACCACGAACTGATCGTTTGCTACCAAATGAAAAGGAGTCCTTGCAGAAAGAACTACCAGGCTCCTCAAGCCCGCAGCGCCAAAACCGAAAGAGAACATGGTGGAAGATCTCGCATCCATTCCTGAGCAAGCACATTGGAATTGCGCACGCACGGGAAAATCAAATTGCTTGGGATTGCTGCAGGAAGTGCAAGACTCAGCCAATGCTGCGCACTTACCGGTCTCAAGGTCGGAACTCCTTTTGAAGGCAACGCGGGCACATTTGGAAGCAGAACCAAGCTGGCACAAGTGCACCCTTACCAGTTTTCCAGGATCTCGCGCGCATGCGACACTTGAAGGTGAAGCCGCTTGACAGTGAGGCGTACTTCCAGAGGACATCTTTAGCATCCAAGTTCCGCCAGTCCAAAAGCTACACAGGACAATGAAGCAGTATCCACCAGGTACTGAGATTGATCTTTTCCGACAAGGTCCAAGTGACTGGCGTTATCATAACATGTGGGACGGTTGCAGTCAGCTGAGAACTTTGCGCGTGTCATCCACTCAGTATGACCAGCGCGCAGCATACGTCCAATATGCCGCTACCATCACCTCCGGACCCTAGCATTCTGGCAACCTGATCAGGTGAACAGAATGTGGGCCATGCCTGCGTCCAAATGCGACTGGGAAGAACTTGGCCCAAGAACGATGCCCATTGAGACAGATCCGCCAACCCTCCTCAGGATCCACCGGATCAGCCGCAGCCATCTCAACCGATTCTACCGACTGTTGTGGTGCCATCACCACCAGTAACTTTGAACATTCCCGAGAACGAAGACAAGAGCTCGAACTGCCGCATCTTGAGCAAGAAGAAACAACTCCACCAACGCAGAGCACTCCACCAAAGAAGCAGAAGACTAGGAGGAAGCCAGGTGGCCAACCAGCGGTGTCTTCACCCAGAAATGAACGTGCCTCGTCATCGCAACATCATCGAGCACTGGAAGATCACAGGGAACCATGAGATTTACTGACCAGGAAGACGGTGAACCCGAAGATTGAGACTAGACCGAGACCGAGTCAGGAAACAAATGACCGTGTCAGGAAGCATGAGTCAAGAAATGGGCAGGGGCGAGTCAAGACCCAATAAAAGGCAAGTCAAGAATGAAAGTGACATTTAGA